ACACACACACACACACACACACACACACACACACACACACACACACAGGGCCAGATGGATGGCCCAAGGCCCCTATTATGCAGTGACAGTGATCAGGATGAGCAGCCCTGTGAGAGTCACACAGCCTTGACATGCAGGAGACACACACACCACAAGAACACCCTGCTTGGGAGTGAACAGCTATACTGAATGTATATACAGTCAGTCGCGCTTGCAGCCACACACAAAACTCCCCCCTCCACCGCGCGCACACACACACACGCACACAGCAGGTGGTGAAAAGCTGGCCCAATGAGCTTCTCTGCTGTGCTGTAGCTGTGCCACATTAACAAAGCCCTCCAGGGAAACCCTGTAGCGCAGGGTCACGGTCTGGTCACATGCCTTGCTTTCCACACATCTTGCTTTCTCTCTAGTTCCAAAGCTCTCATATCATATGCTCACATTCACATACGTTTATCAGTCCGATTTCATCTTTACCCCCCCCATGTACAGGCTTCACTTCTGTTTGTCCACTGTCTCTACCCTTCAGTCTTTTTTTCTTCTTCTGTCTTTCAATTTTTTTCCCAAAGCTCTGTATTGTCTCTACGTTTCCCCTCTTCTTACAGTAGTGTGCTGTAGGTCTCTGCAGCATTACACAGTCAAACTGGGTCACAACCCTCTCAATGGGACACACACTTGGGCGCAGCAGCAAGGACAGCAGGAGATGTGCTCTTATGTGTGTGCATGTGCAGGTAGTGTGCTTTTGTGCATAAACCGTGCTCACATGCAACCACAGCAGCTGAAACCTGGGGCCAGTTTCAGGTCTACTTCCTCTCCAATTATCACCATCAGAACTAAAAACAGCAGATCTCTTACCCAAGCGCCATTTCTTCCCTGCTTTGGGAACAGACAACGTCATCCTGTGAAAGGTGCAGTCAGGATATTGACTGATTTTAAACACCTCATTCTACCCAATCCCACTAAATAATGGAAATAATCAATAACGGCATGGGGGGGTGATACATGCGAGTTGAGACATGAAAAATTATAGGAGAGGTGGGGAGTGATTGGAGGGAAAAAAAACAGCAAGTGAGAGTGCAAAAGAGGTGCAAGGTGAGGCGAGAGATGGAGGGGCAAGCAGAGAGATAAGGGGTGGAGATGGGTGAGTGGGTGGCAGGCACAGGGTGGGGGGGAGCCATATCTTGTCTGCACAATGGCAATTAGTGGCCTAATCCTCCCCCCTTCACCTCGGAGAGCCATTACTCTCCCATGCAAGACTAGGCCAATCAATAGCAGCCCACTCAGCCTGGCGAATGGAGCTACACTTAATACAGCTCTAGTGTCACAGCCTATTTAGTCACCTCACTCTCACACACACACACACACACACACACACACACACACACACACACACACGGGGGGGGGGAAATAAGGCTGGAGGGAGGGAAGATGCAGAAAGGATAGGACTGCTAAGCAACAGACCTCTACTCCATCTATTTCTCTAACCCCCCTCTCTTCCCATCTCCTCCTCCTTTTCCATGTAGAGGCAAAGCAGACTGGAGGAGAGGCAGGGCAGACTAAATAATTAAGAGCAGGAAGAGAAGCAGGTGAGGAGAAGAAGGAAATAAAAGAGACAAGGGCCGTCCAAAAGCTTCATTCTCTTCTTGCAGCCTGTATAATCTGTGTTCACATCTAAGCATCCTTCCCCGCCACGTACACACACACACACATAATACAAACAGCTATTCCTCCATCATCCCCTCCTCCTCTCTCAACACCCCACACAACCACCACCCACCTACCACCTCTTCATACACGGCAATTCCTTTTCCTTCTGTTCTTCAAACACAGTGCCTTCCAACCAGACGTAGATCCGTCAGACTCACACAATTTTCATAAACACATTTACAATACTTACTGACGGTGAGGGCTCATGGGAAATGTCTGAGAGATTGGTTACATGTTCGCATTTCTACATCCCTTTATATTCCTGTTTAAAACCATAGAATGTGTGAATATGTGTGTCCATAAGCCTCCATCCATACCGTCCAAGACTTCCTCTTGTCCATTTTTCAAAACCCATATATCTTTATTCAACAATCACCCTCACATGAGGGTGCCATCTTTTCTGCCATATGCTCCTCCCTTTCCATCTATACAGAGAGAAGATGGCCATACATGCTGGTCCTGTAGGGAGCTAGAGGAGGCAGAGGAGGAGGAGGAGGGAAGCACAGCATTCGGCCCCAGAGTCTAAAATAGGCTCATCAGCTCTCAACCTGCACTTCATTAGCTATACTGATTGTCCCTTTCTTGGTGTGTGTGTGTGTGTGTGTGGTGATGGGGTCGGGTGGGGGGTACACAAAGAAAAAGAGAGCGAGAGAGAGAGCGAGCGAGCGAGAGAAGAGGTAGAGAAAGAAGGAATGAGCAAGGAAAAGAGAGAAAGAAAGCAATAGCTGTCTCAGTCCCAAGCTGTGTGTGATTAATGTGAAGCTCCTTTCTCTATCGCCTCCTCTATTACCAGTCCCACTCTCCCAGACTGCCTCCACACTTGACCGCTCAAGCTGAGCCACGCGCACGCACACGCACACGCACACGCACACACACACACACACACACACACAAAAGATACAACCAACAGCAGCAGCAAACAAACAAACCAAGCAGGGGTCGGAGGCTGTGGCCAAGTGTCCCTGCATTGACGGCACCTTCTAGTTCAGCCACTGACCCAATCAAAAAGCCACCACAGCTTTTCAGCAGGCTATTTCATTCCAGCAGCTATAGCGGTGAATCCCTCTGGATCACGAAGCCTTGATAGGAAGACAACACCACACAAAATGTTTTAGTGTTGCCAAATGGCCCCAACCAATCTTCCGCCACCACCACCAAAACAGCCAAGCATGGCCAGCCCCAGCCATGCCAGGCAGACGGTGCACTCCTCCACCCCGCCAACACATCCACCCCACCCCCCTCCTCCACCCGCCTCCCTCCCAGCATGCATTACAACAACATCAGCACTTAATTAAACAGTCCATTTCACACCTGGTGTGCATAGCAGTGCCCAGCCAACCCTGCATCCATATGCCACCCCACCAGCAGCACAAGCCTCAACACGTGCACTCTGATACACACAAACATCCCCACACATACAGACACACAATAACCACTGATTCACACAAACACCACACACACCTGCTACTACAGTCTTGGCCATGCACTGACAACACAACACAAAGCCTGTAATCTGCATCAGGGAGTGGGGGGAGGGGAGAGGCACACTGTGTGTGTGTTGCTGTGCCAGCGATGGAAAGAAAGACAGTACAAGATGGCGGATGGAAAAAAGAGGAGCAATCCTCTGTGCCTTCTGCCGACTGTACAAACTGTATATTATGCTTGAATGCTGCTTTGCTACTGAGCAGAGTCATGTGAGGTGTAAGGTTGCTGCGTATGGAAAGGAGAGAGAGAGAGAGAGAAAAAAACAACAACAAATGAGCTTGTTTGTGAGTGTTTCAGGGACAGTCACAGCCTGAGGGGTTTTGCCTTCAAGAAACACTCTTTCTCACACACACACACACACACACACACACACACACACA